CATAAAAAAGGAAATTTCGTGGGTACTATATCAAAATTTGTTGTCTTTCAATTTGAAAATAAAAAGGGCCCGAAGAGAAAGTGTTTAAAGCATAATTTTTCTCCATAAATTTTTATGAGACAAATATAATAAAAAATAAATTAAATTAAATTTTCATAAACTAACAATTACACAAGTTAGAAATAATAAAATAGAGAAATCATACGACAGAGACTCAAGTCGAACCAATCTCTTATTTATTTAGTTTAATTTTGATAGAAAAACTACACAAATTCAACTATACTCAAAGCACACTAATTTATCAATTTCAATAATAAATTTAACCAAATACATGAAAATTTTTATGATTTTATGCATGTATTTTTTTTATATAAAATATATATGCAGCTTATATTTATATATATATATATATATATATATTTATAAAAAATATAATAAAGATTAAATATTAATAATATTTTAATTATAATTATTTAAATCAAAACAATATATTTTTTATTTTAAATAGTAATAAAAATTTCTTAATACTTAATTTAAAAAAAAACAATATTTCCAACATAAAACAAATATTAAATATCATCTAGATTTAACTAGAAAAAGAAAAAACACTATTGAATAGTGATTTTGTAATTTAAGTTGCGAATTTCGTTTTATTTTATTTAAGTGATTAGGTAAATTGTAAATTTATGATTATTCTTTTAATTTACACTTGTGTCCTCTATAAATAAAAATACAGATGGTTTGTGGTTATAAGGGAATAAAATGAAATAAACAGGTTTGTTTGAAGAAAAACATGGAATAAAACGTTGTAGCACTACAAGAAAAGAAAAAGGTCATAAGATGTAATCCTCTAATACAATATTACATCGTATTACATTTGATGTTAAAAATCGAATAGGACCGTTCAGGGAATCAAATTAAAAACTGATGCATTGTTTTTAAATAACCAATTTTAATTAAATTAGGATAAATTAATAAAATTTAAAAAATTGATACAATTTTTAAGTCGGGTTTGATAAAAAAATATTATAACAATAATTTTTATTTTTAAAAATATTATCATTAATAAATTTATATATTTATTATATTATAAAAATATTATTTTATTAGATCTAATTAAATTTTGATTGAACACGATATTAAATTTAATGTGTTGATAGGTTCAGGACCTGTCCAATTTAAAAAAAAAAATTGTTATGAACTATATTCTGGAAGCATTTCAATTGGTCGCAGAGTTTGCAATCAAATCCTATCTTATCAGTTGGCATATATAGCATACCATGTTCACGCCATCAATATCAGAATTTCTCTCCTGCATCATCTTCTTCATCATCATCTTGTGTGAATCCGCGTTCATAACAACAACAACAACATAAAAAAAATTACGATATCATATTTAATTTAAGATTATTAGGTGATCATAAAAGAATATTTAACTTAAAATCTTAATAAATTAGATTTATAAGTTTTACTCAATTATATATTAATTAATTTTTTTATTTTTATTTAATACGAGATGTAGCTTATTCTTAAATTCTAACCTTAGATGATTTTGGAAGTAAGTAGAGGATGTGTTAAAACATTGCAATTGCATGGTTGTGGATGCAATGAAAGCAAATGATAATGGTGGTGGGAATCATAGTGAGGCAATCTTGTTAAAATCTCCGAATATTTATTTTTGTTATAGCTGTGGAATAATATTATAATTAAATTGCAAAAGTTCATCACCAATTATGAGTATGTGTATAAATATATATACTCTTCCATATATTTTATTCCCCCACGCGAAAAAAAGAGAGCAACATAAGAGAATTTTCCTTTTCGATTGTGCTTTTTGGAGGGTTTTGGATACTTCGCGAGAGGCTAAGCTATTCAATTCTCTTTGTCTCGTATCTTAAAAAGCAATGCCCAAGGCAAAAGGGTATATATTATACCACTTAATAAACATGCCTCTTTCATTTTCTATTTATTTTCCTCTCTACAGAAGAATGTATATCTTATATTTACTTTTATTTTCTTTCCTAATAAAATACCAATGTGTACAGTTTGTACTTCACCTCTCAAAATCATAATTTTGTGTCACTGCATTTTTCTAACAATCTTTTTCGTACCCTAAAAAAGTCAATATTCTTTCTTCTTTTTTCTGTTCCATATCTTTCCTCTCTTTCACACCTATATATATATGTCCACTCTGTTTGTTTATATAAAAAAATAAAGTTGACATACTAATATATTTTAAATACAACATAATTTACTCAAGAGATGGCAACTGTTTCTTAATTATATATTATTTTCAGACTTAATTTCTGGTCGATGTGAAACTTATGTTGTTCTTTCTTTCTGATGTTAACCATGTTAATTAGTACAAGTACATGAGCATGCACGTTACGTACGGTCACATGAACGAACATGATATGTGTATAGATAGATATATGCTTTGAGCATTTCAGGGTTTAAATTTTAGGTTTGGATGAAGTTGCTGTCGAAAGAAAAACGTGGCGCCATGTTAGAATAGAGAAACAGAGAAGGGTAAAAGAGAAAGACACAGTTTTGGACGTGAACATCACTTGCATTTGCACCACACCAAGATTCCTTTAGTCACAACCAAGCATGTTGCATGCATGCATTATCTATAAATTTCCCAGAATATTTTTCGTCCTTATGTACCACGTACAAGTTCAAAAAGTTCTATATCGAATTGCTGCAAAAAAAAAAAAAAGTACTCATTTCTTGCAACTTCCTTTTCCATACTGTGTGGTCGTTGTTAATCTACGTCAGTGGCAGCAATAATGTGATTCACAATTATCTCAAATCTTCGTAAATTGTTCGAAAATATGACGATGCAAGTTTATATGCAAGTGAAAACCATTATTCAGTTTTATTTTTTTAATGTAATATGAAGCTAGAGGTAATCTGTATACGAGTATTAAATTAATGATTTAATAATTTAATTGCGGTCAAACTTGGTTGAGCATGCCAAACTATTAATAGTTTTGGTGCATTGACCCAAATATAATATTTTTAAACATTATTTATTGGTTTGAAATGTTCATTTTTTTATTAATACGAATCTCAACAAAAAAATTATGATTTTCTTGATCCAAGAGTAATATATTAAAATTAAGAACTTATGATTTAGTTAAAAAATTAAAATAACTCGTATAAACAAATTTAATTAAGTTATTTTTAAAGACTTTAATCAACAAAATTAAACTCTCATAATATTAATTAGCTTTTATAACATATGGGACAAGAAGGTGCTAGAAAGACTAAGAATTAAATGTCATATATCTTTCATTTAAGTTCCATTTGATTTATATTTTGATTAAATTATTTTTGAAAATTTGATGCTAAAATAATAAATGGTTTAAAAACTATGTTTTTTTTATGTCAGTTTACAGGAATAAATTTGTTTAAATGTAAAGTACTTTTTTGAAAAAATGAAAATGCTTTTTTTGTCAAATTATATATCCCACACTTAATTTCACTAGTAAAAAAAAAATTTAAATCATGAATTTGAAATTCTACTTACCAAAGAACTAATTATAATGATTGAAAATCATAGTTGACAAAACGACATAAATCACTATGATATTTTTTTTGCTGAAACAAAAGTAATTTTGAAGCTATATATATAATTGATATAAATAAATGATCCAGAAACTCAATCCTTGAATGATCTCTTTGTCTCCATGGTCTTGTAGTTGAATTTATAAATATTCGATTCGATTAAAAAGGAAAATTTACTATTATCATATCTAGTTCTCACGATAAATTTGAATATTTTTACTTGCTCGAAAAAGTGGGCATTCGTAGTATTAATCCAAAACGATCAGAGGCTTTGAAAATCACTGTATAAACATTCTTGTAAGAAAGCAATTTTAATGGTTGATGCCAAGAAAAAAAATATAACCAGTAAAATGATCATAAAAAATTATGGTGAAAGTAAGATTTAGTACTAAAATAAAATGACACATGAGAAGAGAACAAGTGTTCATGAAATATTATGTCACAAAGAATTATTTTCGATTAACTTCAAAACAGGCTCAATGATATTTCCCTTTCTAGAATTGGATGCGAATCTAAGAAGCAACAAAAGAGGTCCCAATTGGATAAATTCAACTTTTCTTCCAACGCAGAAGATGCCTCAAAGATAGATAAGGCAGAAACTTCAGCATTAGCAACAAAATTTTAAATGTATCTTGTATATATTATTGATGTCATCGTATAGTGAGATCCACCAAATGCAGATCTTCCATACTACGTTCTTGAAAAAATACACCCTCTTAATTAATTAATCTTATAATTATTTTTACCATGATTGGGAGATTAATTTAATCAATCAAATAGCTTAATTAATTAATTAATCAATCTATGTAGTAATATATACCATTCCTCATTCCCAAGCAGGAGTCGTACGTATATATGCAATCGTGTAAAATCAAAACACGAAAACTGTTGATTATGTCTCCAGAATCAAGTAATTAACAGTGTACATGAACATGCAAACACAATTATGAATGAAGGGATATAAGCATAATTTTTCTTTTTTGAAGCCATAACAAGGACTCGCCTTTGTTTTTCCGTGTGCATGCATGGATAGAGAGAAAGAGAGATTCGTTCGTAGTAAAAGGAAGAGTTTGATCAATCACTTTCAACAAATGATCAAAGAAAATTTCGAAACCGACCCAAATATCTCATCTATGATTCTCCACTTTTCTCCATGGCCACCCTATCTTTTTCTTTGCTTAGCGATGCCAATCCACCACAGCACCCAACAAAGGCTTCAAACCCCTATATAAGCATGTCACATTTGGCTCAATCTCATCAAGCACACCTCAAACCAAAACCTTAATACCACATTGATTCCTCACTTACCTCCCTAGCTAGATCTTTGCTTCTTGTTTATGTTCTAGCTCATTCACCAAACTTTCCTTTCTGCATTCATTCAACCAATTTGGTATTGTTGCACAAGGATCAATTGGTTTTGTGGCAGCACAATGGATAGGGTGACAAAGATGGTATCAGAGAGGCCAGTGGTGATCTTCAGCAAGAGCTCTTGCTGCATGAGCCACACCATCAAGACTCTCTTCTGTGACTTTGGGGTGAATCCATTGGTTCATGAGCTTGATGAGATTCCTAGAGGCAGAGACATTGAACAAGCTCTTTCAAGGCTAGGTTGTAGTCCTTCTGTGCCTGTTGTGTTCATCGGTGGTGAGCTTGTGGGTGGAGCCAATGAAGTGATGAGTCTTCACCTTAATCGCTCCTTGATTCCAATGCTCAAGAAAGCAGGAGCTCTTTGGGTTTGATCAAGAATATATTATATGATTGATCTTGACCCCCTACTCATCACCCACACATATATGCAGGCTCTAATAAATATGTTTTGGTTATATATGTATGTATGTAATGATGCGATTATATAGGTATAATATATATATATATATATATATATATATATATATATATATATATATATATGTATGTATGTATGTAATGAGGAAACTATATATCCATGCATGGTATTATATATTAGTATAGAGTTATGGCACTAGCTATGTAATAACAAGGCTAACTTAACTGATCCAGGTGTAGTTTTGCCTTTTTTGATGGGTTAATGTAATATTATCTTTTTGATATATACAGTTATGGAGTTGCAGACTACATACATGTGATGAAGTTTAACATTTTAAACCTCATCAGGGTAGTGACTATATATCAGTATTTTCAGAAAACTATTTTCAGATGAAGGTTGCACTTCTAACCAGATGAGTCATGACTGAAAGTTGAGTAAATTGATTTTGAAGCGTTAAACGTAATGAATATGTGTGCTTACATTAATCTTCATTAGCAGCATGTGATGAACTAATTTTTGGGGCTTGTAATATAGTGAGTAAAAATAATAGAAGTAAAAGGAGGACACAGAAATGAAACCATTTCATCTTCATAAAATGTCATAAACCTTAGTTGTGTCTCTGAATCACGGTACTTACTAACTATTCCGGAACTAATTCCGTAAAAGATTAAACCGAACAAAATCTTACCACTTAGTGGAATCTTTATAAGACAAAAGTACTGCCACGAGTGATTTTTTAGTTACATTTTTTATTTGAAAAAAAATTCAAACTCGAAATTTTATTTAAGAGAACTGACTTCAATATCACTCAATAACAAATAATACCATGATACAAGAAGTAGTTTCTATTCGAATATGGATGATTCTTGCAAAATTAATTTTGAATGAAATTGATTTTATATATAAATTAATTTTAATTAAAATTAAATTTAAATAAATGTGTTGTGCAAATGAAAGATTTTTAGTATAAAAATAAATTAACATTTTTTATTGAAAGTAAAAATTATATAAATAATTAATAAAAATATTATTTTGTTATCTTTTATTTAAATTAGATATTATTTTTTTATTATTATTTAGAATAAGAGAAAAAATATTTGATTATTAGTTTGATTGAGTTAGTTTTGATTAAAATATTATTAATATTTGATATTTTGTTATATTTTGATTATATGAGTACATGAATCAAAAGATAGAGATATACTTCATATAAGATTTATCAAAAACACATGTATACAAAAATTTTAAAATTTTTCATTATTGTTATCAAGATTTTTTATTCTTACAAGAATAATCAAAGAAAGTTTTTTCACAAGTTTTTATTTCAATTATCGATGATGAAAGTTATGATTTATAAATTATGCTAAAGGACTAGATGTATGAGAAGATGTGGAAGAAAATTATATAATTGATCTAGTATTTGAAAATTTTACCATAATCCAAATCAAAATCTAGAAGGAAAGAAAAACAAGACAAAAGCGAAATCATGTTTGTCGGTAAGTATTTATAAATGATTCTCATCAAAATCATAACCCTAAAGTTATCAAAAGAAATTTGAGATTATTTAAAAGAAGAATATGAAGTACCTACAAAAAGGAGCAAACAAGTTTTTAAAGAGAAAACCCAATAACCAATTAAACCAACATGATTCTTGAAAAATAAGACTTAGAGAAGTAACAATTGTTTAAGAAAAAATGGTTAGAGATGTAAGAAATGTTACAATAGATGCGCCTCGCCTCAAGATTGAGAAAACCAAATAGATCTTAAAGGTAAAATACAAAACTCTCGAATAAAAGGACGAAGAACTTGAAAAATGTGGTTCTTGAAATTGAGAGGCTTAAGGCTGAACTAAAAAATTTATAAAAAAGTTGAAGAAATTTAAACTTGTCATGAATTTGTCTTTGTTAAAAGATAACAAAACAAAGAAAGCCAAGAAAAAGGGATGCTCTAGGAAGAAAATGTTTTCTTCACATTATGTTATGTAATGAAAGATCAAGAAAGAAAATTTTAACATGATAAAAGAAAAAAAAACTTATGAGAAGAAATATCTGAGAAAAAAATTTATGTGTAAGTGATTGTAAAAGAAAAATATGACAATAAAATAATGAAAAAAAATGATCAAGAAAGAGAATGAAAATAATTACAAAAAAAAAACAAGAAAGAAAATAATAAATAGAAAAAATATCAAATTCAAATAAATAAACATTAAATAAAGAAGAATATTAAGAATATTATTTTATTATATTCTATTTAAATTAGGTATTAAGAGATATTTTATTATTATTTAGAATAAAAATAATACTAAATTATTATTTTGATTTAGATAATTTTGATTGAAATATTATTAATATTTAATATTTTATTATATATATATATATATATATATATATATATATATATATATATATATATATATATATATATATATATATATATAACATACGAGTACATAAATTAAAAGGTAGAGATATATCTTGAATGAAATATATCAGAAATAGACATTTATACAAATTCTAAAAATTTTCATCAGTAATCACTACAAGAAAAAACACATTTAACCACTGAAATTAGCGATCGATTTAGCGATCGAGTTAATTCAGATCGCAATTTAGCGACCGATTTAGCCACCAAAATATGAATTGGTTTCACTTTTTTATTTAGCGACCGAAATAGCGACCAATAGTTTGCGTCGCAAAATTTCGATCGCTAAATCAATGACTATTCCATACTAAAATAAAAAAATTATTTAGCGACAGATTTAACGATCGAATCACAAATTGAAATAGTGACCGAATAAAAATCGATCGCTAATGAGAAAATAACGACCGAATTGAAATTGGTCGCTAATGAATATTATTTTTTTATTATATTTAAATTTATTTTTTTATAAATATACTTTAATTGTTTTAGTATATTTTTTACAATTTATTTTTTAAAAGTAATTTATTTTTAAAAAATAAATTAATTTTTAAAATATACTTTAAAAATAAACTTTGGTCTCAATATTAACAAAATGAAGATTAACTTTAATTTTAAATTACTAAAATAAAAATATTATTAAAAATAAATCAAATTTATTAAAAATTTAAATTGTAATAAATTAAAACTAGAGTGATATTAACTATTCAATACATTATTTAAGAAAAGTTTAATAACAAATATTATTTAATTTATTTTTCAATTGAAAATTTCAATTGAAATTAAACTATATTTTAAAAATTTATATTAAAAAAATTAAACACATCAAATTATCACATTTTAATTCCTCGTTAACTTAATTAATTAAAAAATTACAATTTTAATCAAATTATTACAACTTTATTTTATAATACTTTATTTTTAATCTAATTTTTAAATTTATTGCTTTATTATTATTAATTACTTAATCATGGTTGTTGTCATATAATTGATATACAAAAAAAATTTATATCAATATACATTAGATAATAAATATATTATTTAATTAAACTATTTATAGAAATATATTTATCTTTAGTTAAAATATTTTTTAGTTTAAGTATACTAATTAATATTTTTCATTTTTAACATAATTAATAAAAAAGATTAAAAATTTAAAATTAATATATTTTATAAATACTAAAAATAAACTATATTTAAATAAATGAAAAATATATTTAAATTTATATTCAACATAGTTAAGGTTGTGCCTTTTTAAAATTTATATTCAACATATATTTAAATTTATATTAAAAATAGTTAATATAAATTAAGGTTGTGCCTTTTTAAAATTTTAACTTTTTCATATATTGGATTTTCATTAAAAAAATTCTAAAATTGCATAAGAAAATAGAAATTTAATTATACTTTTAATAAATTTAAGATAATACTAGTTTTTATTTTTATTTTTAAATATTTATTTTAATTTTTTAAAAGAGAGAAACTATAATTTTAGTTTCTAAATACTAAATTTAAAGGATTATATTTATTATTATTTAATATTTTAATTTTAGTATTAAAAATCTAAATTATATTTTATTAAATTAAAATAATTACAATATATTTTTCTACTTTGAGAATTAAAAATATAATTAAACTAAAACTGAAAATATTATAATACATTTTTGAACTCTTTTTTATAATATTTTTATAATTATTATATTTTTGGATTAATTATTTTTTTCCTAATTTTTTATAAAGTCAATTTTAATATTTAAAAGTATTTAACATTTTGAATTTTGAAACTTTTTCTCTATTAACAAATTTTAAAACATAATATACTAAAAAAATATTATACATAATTATTTCATCCAAATTTTTAATAATATGATAAGTCATCAAATTCGTATATAAAACAAATTTAATGATGGATTAAAATAGAACAACATTTATAAGAGACTATTTATTTTTATTTATGATGGATCAAAAGTGGAAATACATTTAAATTTATAATTTTATTTATGAAACACATTTAAATTTATAATTAATGAAAATCTTAATATAATATGATACTTTTAGTAATGTATTTTTTTATAAATTTAAACTTACTTTTTTTAGTTTAGTTTTTAAATTTTATGTATTATTATAATATAGTAAAAATGATAGAGTTTAAAAACAATGTAGAATGTGAGAAGTTTAAAAAGAAAAAAAAGTTAAAAAAGGATATATATATATATATAGATACATATATATATATATACATATATATATATATATATATATACATATATATATATATATATATATATAAATAAATATGATTGGATTAAATTTATTATCCCCTCATATATTATTATACATTATTAGCGTAATTTTAGTTTAATTAAAAATTAGAATACAAATATACTATACTATACTAATATACCATTATATTATTTTCATTGTATATAAATTACAAAACTAACAATTTATAAAAATTTTAATGATAATTTTTTTAACTTATATATTACAAAATATTTTTTAATACTTTAATAAATATAACTTTTTTTAAATATT